TGCGTTCAATAAAAAACACACAAAAAAAGTATCGCATAATTCAACACTAAACATATTCAAGGTGTCAACTAATTTCTGCATCTCATGTAATGTAACCATTAACAGTTCCGACCGACATGTGATCATTTTTGTTCCCACGCCGCTTCAAAGTGTAACAGGATCACATGCAGATTAAATAGGGAGAGTTAAAGAAGAGAAAGGAGAGACAGACGGACCTGACGGCGGCGTGGTGGAAGCGTTTATCGGGCTGCCGCTGGCGGAGGACGTGGAGGTCGCCGCCGGGGCAGAACTCAGTCAGGAGGCAAGACCAGCGCGGGGAATCGAGCGACGCGTAAAGAGTTGGCAAAAAAGGGTGATCCACCGCTTGCAGAATCTCTCTCTCAACCTTTGCCCTCGTGTCTTTGTTCCTGGCCACGAGTTCCTTCTTGTCCATCACCTTTGCCGCGAACAGGCACCCGTTCGAGCCCTTCAGCTCCACCAAGTACACGCTTCCGATATCGCCGCTCCCCACTCGCTGCACAAACCGGAGGTCACCCAATCCCAGGGTCCCGCCGCCGCGCTCTATGGCTTCCCAGCAGGGGTCCGACGACGGTGCGTGGTTCCTGGCGGAGAACGTCCACTCCGCGCCCGCGGTGGTGGCAGGGTTGTCGGAGTCGTCCTCGGCGGAGGAGTGCATTGTGTCGCTAATGATTCTAACAATAACTGCAGTAATAATAATGGAGTTGGAGTTTGCTGTGTTGTGCGTGAGAGAGAGAGAGAGAGAAAGAGGTGTGCGTGTGGGGGGAAATAGAGAGTTGAGTTTTGTGAAGGGAATGAGAGAAGGAGGTGGGGGCATAATGGGCCGGCAGTTTATTATTGGGCCATCTGGTGCCTTTACACTAAATAGGCCACTGGGTCAAAGGGCCCATCTGCTTCAATTTTTTCTCTATTTTTTTTTGTTTTTTTTGTCTTTTTATAGTATTGATCATCAATTCTCATTCACGTATGAACAAAAGTAGTAACGTGGGGGAGACACTACCAATTGCGAACGGGAGAACATGTTGATTTTGTCAAGTGTCAATGAAAACGCATCGAAAGAGTTAAATTTTACGAATCTAAACTGTAACTAGTTTTATTCAACTGTAATTATTACCCTTAACTCCCATCTAATTAAAGAGTTATTTTTCATATTTTGTAATGTCCACTGACAGTTTAACTTAACAATGTGTTTAAAGAAAATCGAACCACGACCCTACGACATCATTAATAGATAATAGTGGTTCTTTACTTTAAACAACAACGATTACATGCCCGATCTTCTTTTATTCAGAAGATTATCAAATAAAGTGAGAGCTTTAATTATTCTTAAAAAAATAGCCATTAAAACAGATAAATCTTATTCAAAACACACGCGAATCTCTATTGCGACAGACAGGGGACCGTGACACCCACCCAAAAAAAATTAAATATTTAACAAATCTGTCGAAGCAAAAAAAAAAAAAAACAATAACACTATGCAAATTGGAGATCAAAATTATTAAGGGACAAATAAAAGAATAGGTTTCTTTCAAACCTTTCATTTCTAATTTTATTTTTAAATAGTTTTTTGAAATTGTAGTTGATTTAATAAGTTCTTTCCAAAACTAAAAGGAGAGGTAAAGAAGATTAAATGAAACACTGAAATTGTGGATTAATTTGGGTCCCTTTATCTTTCAATTTTTTGTGCTTTAACTTGAATGAAATGCAAAGATTTTTTTTTTCCCGTTAAATTACTTTTTAACTTTTATACTTTCCATATGTTATTGAATAGGTTCTTATGGTTGATTGTTTTTAATATGCCTATATCTCCATATAATTACAATGGAGGGCTATATCACTAAATACTTTAGTGAGCCATTAAACATGTCACGTTGTTTTTTTTTTAAATGACAAAAATTAACTTTTTACAAAAATGCTTTACATACATTTCTATAAGTAAAATCCCTTACATACATGGATTTTTTTTATCTCCGATAATTAACTTGTATAACTTAAAATAAAATAAATTATTAATATCGTTAAAGTGTTTTTACAAACAAATGTTTGAAAACAAAAATGTAATATGTAATGTTTTTATAATTATTAGCGTTTGAGAAAACGTTTGAAAGAGAATTTCTCATTATGATTGGAGAAAAGAACACACTGTAGAAGAGGATGAAAACTTTTATTAACATATAATATTTCTATTTGGAAGAAAGTATTACATTTGTCCCTCCCTTTCCAATAAATTTTTCTCCCGCATCTTAATTGCTTTGAAAAGCTTTCATTTTACTTACTTGTTTCTTCGATCTCTTCACTTTTCTCTTCTACGCCACCACCATTTGAAGCTCCCAAGGTCGCCGGATCATCGCGTCACCACTGATCTCCTTCGCCCTCTGGAAGAAGCCTCTGGAATGCTCCGTTCTCTCTCTTCATTTGCATAGATAGTGTTTTGACACGTCTGCGGAGATGTCTCAATCTCACGGTCTTAATTGTGTTGTGGGCCGCCTAACATTGGGCTTCTTCTCTCTGCACACCATTTGGGCTTCGGCTTAATATGGTATCAGAGCAGGTCTAGTGCCTGCTCTGCTTCCGCTCTGCCTGCTGACTTTCTTGGTTAATTCTTGGACTGGTTTGCACAGCTTTAGGCCTCATGGAACAGGCTGAGTTCAACAACCCATCCAGCCCTTACTATCTACACCCAGGAGAGAATCCTGGACTTACTCTCATCACACAAACTCTAAGCGAAAACAACTACTCATCTTGGAGTAGAAGCATGAGAAGAGCTTTGCTCTCCAAGAACAAAGTGAAATTTATTGATGGGACCATAAAGAAACCCCAGAAAAATGACATTCGGTACGATGCATGGGAAAGGTGCAACATGATGATATTGTCTTGGATAACCAAGACCCTTTCTCCACAAATTGTCGAGAGTGTCATATACGTGGAAGAAGCAAAAGAATTATGGCATGAACTGAAAGAAAGATTTTCTAAAGGTGATCATTTCAAGATTTCGGACCTCCTCCAAGATATACACTCCATTAGACAAGGGGAGAGGGGAGTCAACCAATTCTTTACAGATTTGAAGATTCTGTGGGAAGAATTAGAGTCCTTGAGACCCATACCCACCTGCACATGCAAGATACCATGCAGTTGTGCTCTTTCAAAGGTTTTCTTGAAGTATAGAGAAATGGAGCATGTGATATGTTTTCTAAAGGGATTGAATGACTCTTACAACACTGTTAGAACACAAATCATCCTAATGGATCCCCTTCCAAACATCAATCGGGTCTTCTCACTTATCATGCAACAGGAAAGACAAGAAAAACATGGGTCAACTGATGCTAAAGTCATGGTTAATACTGCTGACAGAAACAGCCAGTGGAAAGGCCAAGGACGGGGACCTGGATTGCGTGGTCAAGGAAGAGGAAGAGGCAGAAATCCTAACCATGGCAAGCAATGCTCTTATTGCAACAAGATGAACCACACGGTTGATGAGTGCTACTTTAAACATGGATACCCACCTTGGTACAAGAAAGCAGAGGGCAGTCAAGACAGAAAGAATGAGTGGAGTTCAGCCAATGCTTGCCAGAACACCACTGAACCAAATGGAAATCAGAAAGCACAGTCCAATAATAACAACAATATTTTCAACTCTCTCACTGCAGAACAGATACAGAAGCTGCTTAGATTGATAGACAGAGATGATGAATCAACCCACAAGATTAATCAAATTCAGAGGGCTGACAGTGCAGATAAACAAGGTAATTCCTCCTGGATTATTGATACTGGTGCCACTGACCATGTGACACATGATAAAATAAATTTTATCAATTCTACCAAATAAAACCTATATCTGTTAGATTACCTAATAACACTGTCTTAACTGCTAAACATGCTGGCACTGTACAATTATCTAAGGATCTTGTCATTTTCAATGTTCTATATATTCCTGAATTTCATTTCAATTTGATCTCAGTTCAAAGTCTTATCAAAGACTTGAATTGTAATCTAACTTTCTCATCCAAAACTTGCCCCCTTCCTATTTAAATCTCAAAATTTTTGGATGCTTGTGCTTTGTCTCTACTCTTGAACATAACAGAAACAAACTTGACCCAAGAGCTAGAAAAACTGTTTTTCTAGGCTATAGACCTGGTGTCAAGGGATATCTTGTACTTGACATAAATTCCAAAGAGCTTTTTATAAGCAGAAACGTGGTTTTCCATGAGAACATTTTTCCTTATATGAATCTGCAAGACAACAATACTAATTCACCTACTGGAAAGGATACAACCAACTCTCTTAGCGATCTCCTAAGAGATCACTATCACAAGGACACTGACATACATGACGAGCCTGATGGTTCTGGGCAGGAAAATGCACAACAGCTCACTGTTAGTGAGGACAACAGTGACAGTGTGGGAGATAATCAAGATGTCCAATTGCAAAGAAGGTCAAATAGACCCAGAAAAGCTCCTGACTATCTTAAAGATTATGTCCATCAGGTCAATCAATCCCTATCTCTGAAAAATAATCTTAAAACACCTTACCCGATATCCAACCTGTTATGCTGTGATAATCTTTCAGGGAGACACCTAAAATATACCATGGCTGTCACTGGTAGCAAGGAGCCTAAATCCTACAGTGAGGCAAAAGGCATGAATGAATGGGTAGAGGCAATGCAGAGAGAAATTAAAGCCCTGCAAGATAATGACACATGGGCCCTGACCCAGCTGCCTCCAGGGAAGGCTGCCATAGGATGTAAGTGGGTGTATAAAACAAAGTACAAAGCTGATGGAAGCATTGAAAGATTCAAGGCTCGGCTAGTAGCAAAAGGCTACACACAACAAGAGGGAATAGATTATCTTGACACTTTTTCTCCTGTTGCCAAACTAACCACTGTCAGATTGCTCATTGCCCTAGCGGCTTCAAACAATTGGCTTTTACACTAACTAGATGTTGACAACGCTTTCCTACATGGAGACCTCAATGAAGAGGTATACATGGAGCCACCCCCAGGTTTGATGGTTCACAGTAAAGGACAAGTCTGCAGACTGAGAAAATCTTTATATGGCTTAAAGCAGGCCAGTAGACAGTGGTTTGAGAAACTATCATCTTTCTTAATAGCTGTTAATTATGTTCAATCTAAGTCTGACCACTCTCTGTTCATTAGAACAACACCTACCAGTTTCACTGCCCTTCTTGTTTATGTAGATGACATTGTTTTGACAGGGAACTCTATGACTGAAATCAATTGCATGAATGAACTCTTACACAAAGAGTTTCGAATAAAGAACCTTGGTGAGCTCAATTATTTTCTTGGTTTGGAAGTTGCCAGGTCAAAGAAAGGCATTCATTTATGCCAAAGGAAATATGCTTTGGACATACTGGAGGAGACAGGGATGTTAGGATGCAAGCCTTCCTCTACTCCTTTCCTCAGTGATACAGTTTCATTATACATGGAGGACAGCTATCTGGAAGATCCAGGACCATATAGAAGGCTAATAGGAAAGTTACTCTACCTTACAAACACTAGGCCTGATTTATGTTTCTCAGTTAACTTACTTAGCCAATTCATGCAATCACTCACTGATCACCACTACCGTGCCATTCAACACATACTCAGGTATATTAAAGCCAAGCCCTCTGAAGGGCTATTTTTCTCTGCTGACTCTCCTATGCAGCTAAAGGCATTTAGTGACTCTGACTGGGCTACTTGCCCCAATACTAGGAGATCCACAACGGGATTCTGTATCTTCCTAGGATCATCTCTCATTTCGTGGAAGTCTAAAAAGCAGAAGACCGTTTCCCGATCATCCACAGAAGCTGAGTACAGGGCACTAGCAGCCACTGTATGTGAAATACAGTGGCTCTGCTATCTGCTACGTGATTTTCAAATCAAGGAGTCAGGGACCCCTGCTTTATATTGTGACAATAAATCTGCGAGGCACATAGCTCACAATCAAAGTTTTCACGAACGCACCAAGAACATTGAGCTTGACTGCCATGTTGTTCGTGAAAAGCTTCAGGAAGGTCTCCTCATTCTCCTTCCCGTACGATCCGACGAGCAGCTTGCTGACATCTTCACAAAGTTTCCTCATCGCGTCAAATACAAATCTATTGTTCCCAAACTTGGATTGGTAACCATACACCATCCAGTTTGAGGGGAGGCTATTGAGAATATGTAGTTTCATTACTACAGAATGGATCGAAACCCTCTCTAGGTCTTTGTTCAATGGATTCTGTTTGGGTCTTTATTACTTTCATTATTGTTACAGTTTTCAGTTAATCAGAACTCTATAAATAGAGTTCTGTTTTGTATTTTACAGATAAGAGAGATATAACAATTACAACAGTGAGAAATAAATCAGATGATGAAAAGCTTTCATTTTACTTACTTGTTTCTTTGATCTCTTCACTTTTCTCTTGTACGCCACCACCATTTGAAGCTCCCAAGGTCGCCGGATCATCGCGNTAAAAAACTAAGTAAAATACATTTGGCGGTTGAAATGGTTGGCCCACCAACCAACAACAGCATCTGTTGAGAAACAATAATTGATGTGGGCAAGCGAACAAGAGGAAGTGAGAAAGAATTGCCTTTCTTATATTCGAATCTTCTTATGTTCCCTTTCATATTATCAGACACATCATTATAAAAAGCAAACTAAGTAAAATATTAATGATGATAGGTTTTATATTCCATGATTATGTCTACGTCTTTTACTTTTATAACATGGAATCTAATTCCTGGGTCAAAGACGAAATGGCATATATCCAATGAATAACTGGAAATCATTTATCCTCCCCATTCTATAAATTAAATAAAATTGTTAATTTCACCAATTCCAGTTTTATAACTGTAATTAATTACACCAACGCAACTGTTAATTACACAAACATGGTTTTGTAGTTTTAGTAAAATCCCACAGCAGTTGTCTGAGTTGAAGTTGTATATGAGCAGTTTGAGTTGTATGGATGGTCATAAGTATGTATATATATATATAAAAGTGGGATTATATATATATAAAAGTGGGATTATATATATATATATGAATATATATAGAGAAAGAGAGTTCTAATAGAAGTCTACGGTATTGGTTGTGCAATTATAGAGTCGAACCAATTCCTTGCACTTGTCTGATGCAGGGATGTATGGAGGGGTAGCACACCTTAACAATGCCCAATTAACTCCATTGAAGAAGGGGTGGTGCTTGATTGCTAGGGCACCCATTGTTGAACCCAGTCTCATTGTTGAGTCCTTCACCAACAGTTGTGATATCAAATCCCTAGCTGCTCCTGGGATCATTGGCTCCTTAGGGAACTCAAGGGCACGTGCCACTATGTTCGCTAGGGTTAGCTCATGCTCAACCCCTTTGAAGGGTGTCATCCCGTAGAACAGTTCAAAAATGAATACTCCCAGTGTCCACCAATCAACGGCGTTACCGTGACCCTCCCCGGAAATCACTTCCGGCGCCAAGTACTCATGGGTCCCAACGAACGACGTCGACCGAATTTCTATTGGCTCCGCCACGATCTCCACCGACCCACACCGCGATGACCTCTTGCTACGACCGCGTTTCGGGTGGAAGCATGGGACAGATGGCACAATGCAATTTGGCAGCATGCAGGATGACATGGCGGGGGCGCATTGGTTCTTGGAATGGTCGTTGGAACAGGTGTTGCAGGGTGGATCTTGATCGAACACGATCTGAGCCGTTGATGTTGTGTCGTCGCCTTTCAGTGAGAGGTCAAAGTCAGTGAGCATTACGTGACCGTCCGATCTTATGAGCACATTTTCAGGCTTCAAATCACGGTATATTATCCCCATCATGTGTAGGTACTCCAAGGCAACCACAACCTCAGATGCGTAGAACCTGTAACCACAACCCTCAAGTCAACATAACATGGTGGAATTGTTATTATCGGCATGTATTATTTTGGTATATCAGCATCATAATTTTATTACCATCAATTTCTCCAATAATTAAATCATGCAGGGTCCACTTTTGAATAATCATACCCATTATTTTAAAATTTGACCATGCAAAACGTCATCAACTTCTATTTTTGCATAATTTTTCAAATATATTTTGATGAAGACGTACGAGCACTATCTGTAATTTTTAGAGAAATAATAAACCTTTTGACTACATCCAAAAGCTGAATTACTTGTTTATGCAATAGTTTAAGATGGAGGTTCCATCCTACAAGTATTTAAATCTGTTCAAGCTCAGAAACGACGAGATAGGAATGCTCTAAAATTTGTTTATTATCAGTATTACTTTGGCAATCCGATAATGGTTACTGGTTAAGTGGGGGAGGCACTAAATTATTATTTGGTGCACGACGGACACACCAAAAGCCTTCGTGGGCTCACCATCAAAGGCATCAAAGGAGACATGAATTGAATCTAATGGCCCACAGCCAATGAAATTATGAGCAGATTAAACCAACTCAACTCAAACCCAAAGACCTATCCCAACTTTTCCCATCACAAACTGCATCACCAAACTCATCCAAAGAAGCCAAATAAACATGCGCGTCTCTCTCTCTCTCTCTCTCTCTCTCTCTCTCTCCACCCTCTCCACTACTATATTATAAATTTTCATTTTCCTTACATTAGCGTTGATGTATGAAACATCAACATACCCAGTTACCCATTGTTAATTCAGTTACAAATCCCACTGACATCTCAAACAGTAACTGTTACCTATTAACTTTTCTTTCTATTTATTACGCACCGATTTATATTATAACAACGTATAAATGAAAGAAACAAATTACTCGACCAAATTATTCTCTGCATGACATGTGTCACTCATCAATCTACAAATTGCAATTCTCGTTGCGTCAATTAAGAAAACACACAAAAAAGTATCGCATAATTCACACTAAACATATTTAAGGTGTCAACTAATTTTGATCCATGTAAATGTAACCATTAACAGTGCGACCGACATGTGACTCATTTTTGGTTCCCACGCCGCTTCAAAGTGTACAGGATCAAGATGCAGATTAAATAGGGAGAGTGAAGCAGAGAAAGGAGAGACAGACGGCCTGGACGGCGGGTGGTGGAAGCGTTTATCGGGCTGCCCGGGCGGAGGGACGTGGAGGTCGCCGCGGGGCAGAAATCGGTCAGGAGGCAAGACCAGCGCGGGGAACGAGGCGACGCGTAAACGACTGGCAAAAAGGGTGATGCCACCCGCTTTGCAGAACCGTCTCCTGTCCTTCAACCTGCTGCCTCGGCGGGTCTTTGTCAGGCCAACAGAGGTCGCTTTCCCGTGAGCTCGTCCCATCACTCGCGTTGCGGAAGCGAACACCCCGGCACACCCTCGTCTCGAGCGACCTTTCAGATGTCCACCACAGGTACACCCGCTTCCGATATTCGCCGCTACCCCCAATCGCTGCCACAAAACCGGAGGGTGGTGCACCCAATCCCAGGGTCGCGCCGCCGCGCTCTAATGGCTTCACCAGACGAGCAGGGGGTTCTGGACGAAGGGTGCTGTGGTTCCTGGCGGAAGAACGTCCACTCCGCGCCCGCGGTGGTGGCAGGGTTGTCGGAGTCGTCCTCGGCGGAGGAGTGCATTGTGTCGCTAATGATTCTAACAATAACTGCAGTAATAATAATGGAGTTGGAGTTTGCTGTGTTGTGCGTGAGAGAGAGAGAGAGAGAAAGAGGTGTGCGTGTGGGGGGAAATAGAGAGTAGAGTTTTGAGTGAGGGATATGAGAGAGGATCCCGGTGGGGGGCTAATGGGCCGGCCAGCAGTTTATTAGTGGGCCATCGGGGCCTGTTACATTAAATAGGCACCGACTGGGTCAAAGGGCCAATCTGCTTCCTTCACATTTTTTCTCTATTTTTTTTTTGTTTTGTGTCTTTGTGTTGTTATATGGTAGTATGATCATCAAATTCTCATTCACGTATGAACAAAAGTAGTAACCCGTGGGGGAGACACTACCAATTGCGCGAAAGGGAGAAAATGGCGTTGATATTTGATTTTGTCAGTGTTAATGTAGAAACGATCGACTAAGAGTAAGAATTTCGAAGTCTAACAACTGAATAGTTTTTATTCAACTGTAATATTACCCTAAATTCCCATCTAATTAAAGAGTTATTTTTCATATTTTGTAATGTCCACTGACAGTTTAACTTAACAATGTGTTTAAAGAAAATCGAACCACGACCCTACGACATCATTAATAGATAATAGTGGTTCTTTACTTTAAACAACAACGATTACATGCCCGATCTTCTTTTATTCAGAAGATTATCAAATAAAGTGAGAGCTTTAATTATATTTCTTAAAAAAAATAGCAGCATTCAAAAACAGATAAATCTGATTCCAAAAAACACACGAAGAATCTCTATTGCGACAGACAGGGGACCGTGACCCCACCCAAAAAAAATTAAATATTTAACAAATCTGTCGAAGCAACAAAAAAAAAAAAACAATAACACTATGGCAAATTGGAGATCAAAATTATTAAGGGACAAAAAAGAATAGGTTTTTTCAAAACCTTCATTTCTAATTTTATTTTTAAATAGTTTTTGAAATTGTAGTTGATTTAATAAGTTCTTTCCAAAACTAAAAAGGAGAGGTAAAGAAGATTAAATCAAACACTGAAATTGTGGATTAATTTGGGTCCCTTTATCTTTCAATTTTTTGTGCTTTAACTTGAATGGAAATGCAAAGATTTTTTTTCCCGTTAAATTACTTTTTAACTTTTATACTTTCCATAGTTATTGAATAGGTTCTTATGGTTGATTGTTTTTAATATGCCTATATCTCCATATAATTACAATGGAGGGCTACTATATCACTAAATACTTTAGTGAGCCATTAAACACGTCACGCTGTTTTTTTTTTAAATGACAAAAATTAACTTTTTACAAAAATACTTTACATACATTTCTTAAGTAAAATCCCTTCATACATGGATTTTTTTTATCTCGATAATGAACTTGTATAACTTAAAATAAAATAAAATTATTAATACGTTTAAAGTGGTTTTACAAACAAATGTTTGAAAACAAAAATGTAATATGTAATGTTTTTTATAATTATTAGCGTTGAGAAAACGTTTGAAAGAGAATTTCTCATTATGATTGGAGAAAAGAACACACTGTAGAAGAGGATGAAAACTTTTATTAACATATAATATTTCTATTTGGAAGAAAGTATTACATTTGTCCCTCCCTTTCCAATAAATTTTTCTCCCGCATCTTAATTGCTTTGAAAAGCTTTCATTTTACTTACTTGTTTCTTCGATCTCTTCACTTTTCTCTTCTACGCCACCACCATTTGAAGCTCCCAAGGTCGCCGGATCATCGCGTCACACTGATCTCCTTCGCCCTCTGGAAGAAGCCTCTGGAATGCTCCGTTCTCTCTCTTCATTTGCATAGATAGTGTTTTGACACGTCTGCGGAGATGTCTCAATCTCACGGTCTTAATTGTGTTGTGGGCCGCCTAACATTGGGCTTCTTCTCTCTGCACACCATTTGGGCTTCGGCTTAATATGGTATCAGAGCAGGTCTAGTGCCTGCTCTGCTTCCGCTCTGCCTGCTGACTTTCTTGGTTAATTCTTGGACTGGTTTGCACAGCTTTAGGCCTCATGGAACAGGCTGAGTTCAACAACCCATCCAGCCCTTACTATCTACACCCAGGAGAGAATTCCTGGAACTCTTACTCTCATCAACACCAAACTCTAAGCGAAACAAACCTACTCATCTTGGAGTAGAAGCATGAAAGAGCTTGCTCTCCAAGAACAAAGTGAAATTTTTGATGGGACCATAAAGAAAACCCCAGAAAAATGACATTCGGTACGATGCATGGGAAAGGCTGCAACATGATGATATTGTCTTGGATAACCAAGAAGACCCTTTTCTACACAAAATTGTCGAGTAGTGTCATATACGTGGAAGAAGCAAAAGAATTATGGCGATGAACTGAAAGAAAGATTTTCTAAAGGTGATCATTTCAAGATTTCGGACCTCCTCCAAGATATACACTCCATTAGACAAGGGGAGAGGGGAGTCAACCAATTCTTTACAGATTTGAAGATTCTGTGGGAAGAATTAGAGTCCTTGAGACCCATACCCACTGCACATGCAAGATACCATGCAGTTGTGCTCTTTCAAAGGTTTTCTTGAAGTATAGAGAAATGGAGCATGTGAATGTTTTCTAAAGGGATTGAATGACTCTTACAACACTGTTAGAACACAAATCATCCTAATGGATCCCCTTCCAAACATCAATCGGGTCTTCTCACTTATCTGCAACAGGAAAGACAAGAAAAACATGGGTCAACTGATGCTAAAGTCATGGTTAATACTGCTGGACAGAAACAGCCAGTGGAAAGGCCCAAGGACGGGGAACCTGGATTGCGTGGGCAAGGAAGGGGAAGAGGCAGAAATCCTAACCATGGCAAGCAATGCTCTTATTGCAACAAGATGAACCACACGGTTGATGAGTGCTACTTTAAACATGGATACCCACCTTGGTACAAGAAAGCAGAGGGCAGTCAAGACAGAAAGAATGAGTGGAGTTCAGCCAATGCTTGCCAGAACACCACTGAACCAAATGGAAATCAGAAAGCACAGTCCAATAATAACAACAATATTTTCAACTCTCTCACTGCAGAACAGATACAGAAGCTGCTTAGATTGATAGACAGAGATGATGAATCAACCCACAAGATTAATCAAATTCAGAGGGCTGACAGTGCAGATAAACAAGGTAATTCCTCCTGGATTATTGATACTGGTGCCACTGACCATGTGACACATGATAAAATAAATTTTATCAATTCTACCAAATAAAACCTATATCTGTTAGATTACCTAATAACACTGTCTTAACTGCTAAACATGCTGGCACTGTACAATTATCTAAGGATCTTGTCATTTTCAATGTTCTATATATTCCTGAATTTCATTTCAATTTGATCTCAGTTCAAAGTCTTATCAAAGACTTGAATTGTAATCTAACTTTCTCATCCAAAACTTGCCCCCTTCCTATTTAAATCTCATCAAATTTTTGGATGCTTGTGCTTTGTCCTACTCTTGAACATAACAGGAAACAAAACTTGACCAAGAGCTAGAAAAACTGTTTTTCTAGGCTATAGACCTGGTGTCAAGGGATATCTTGTACTTGACATAAATTCCAAAGAGCTTTTTATAAGCAGAAACGTGGTTTTCCATGAGAACATTTTTCCTTATATGAATCTGCAAGACAACAATACTAATTCACCTACTGGAAAGGATACAACCAACTCTCTTAGCGATCTCCTAAGAGATCACTATCACAAGGACACTGACATACATGACGAGCCTGATGGTTCTGGGCAGGAAAATGCACAACAGCTCACTGTTAGTGAGGACAACAGTGACAGTGTGGGAGATAATCAAGATGTCCAATTGCAAAGAAGGTCAAATAGACCCAGAAAAGCTCCTGACTATCTTAAAGATTATGTCCATCAGGTCAATCAATCCCTATCTCTGAAAAATAATCTTAAAACACCTTACCCGATATCCAACCTGTTATGCTGTGATAATCTTTCAGGGAGACACCTAAAATATACCATGGCTGTCACTGGTAGCAAGGAGCCTAAATCCTACAGTGAGGCAAAAGGCATGAATGAATGGGTAGAGGCAATGCAGAGAGAAATTAAAGCCCTGCAAGATAATGACACATGGGCCCTGACCCAGCTGCCTCCAGGGAAGGCTGCCATAGGATGTAAGTGGGTGTATAAAACAAAGTACAAAGCTGATGAAGCATTGAAAGATTCAAGGCTCGGCTAGTAGCAAAAGGCTACACACAACAAGAGGGAATAGATTATCTTGACACTTTTTCTCCTGTTGCCAAACTAACCACTGTCAGATTGCTCATTGCCCTAGCGGCTTCAAACAATTGGCTTTTACACTAACTAGATGTTGACAACGCTTTCCTACATGGAGACCTCAATGAAGAGGTATACATGGAGCCACCCCCAGGTTTGATGGTTCACAGTAAAGGACAAGTTTGCAGACTGAGAAAATCTTTATATGGCTTAAAGCAGGCCAGTAGACAATGGTTTGAGAAACTATATCTTTCTTAAGCTTTAATTATGGTCAATCTAAGTTCTGACCACTCTCTGTTCATTAGAACAAACACCTACCAGTTCACTGCCCCTTCTTGTGTATGTAGATGACATTGTTTTGACAGGGAACTCTATGACAGAAATCAATTGCATGAAAGAACTCTTACACAAAGAGTTTCGAATAAAGAACCTTGGTGAGCTCAAGTATTTTCTGGGTTTGGAAGTTGCCAGGTCAAAGAAAGGCATTCATTTATGCCAAAGGAAATATGCTTTGGACATACTGGAGGAGACAGGGATGTTAGGATGCAAGCCTTCCTCTACTCCTTTCCTCAGTGATACAGTTTCATTATACAGGGAGGACAGCTATCTGGAAGATCCAGGACCATATAGAAGGCTAATAGGAAAGTACTCTACCTTACAAACACTAGGCCTGATTTATGTTTCTCAGTTAACTTACTTAGCCAATTCATGCAATCACTACTGATCACCACTACGTGCCATCAACACATTACTCAGGTATATTAAAGCCAAGCCCTTCTGAAGGGCTAATTTTTCTGCTGAATCCTATGCAGCTAAGGCATAGTGACTCTGACTGGGCTACTCTGCCCCAATACTAGGAGATCCCACAACGGGATTCTGTATCTTCCTAGGATCATCTCTCATTTCGTGGAAGTCTAAAAAGCAGAAGACCGTTTCCCGATCATCCACAGAAGCTGAGTACAGGGCACTAGCAGCCACTGTATGTGAAATACAGTGGCTCTGCTATCTGCTACGTGATTTTCAAATCAAGGAGTCAGGGACCCCTGCTTTATATTGTGACAATAAATCTGCGAGGCACATAGCTCACAATCAAAGTTTTCACGAACGCACCAAGAACATTGAGCTTGACTGCCATGTTGTTCGTGAAAAGCTTCAGGAAGGTCTCCTCATTCTCCTTCCCGTACGATCCGACGAGCAGCTTGCTGACATCTTCACAAAGTTTCCTCATCGCGTCAAATACAAATCTATTGTTCCCAAACTTGGATTGGTAACCATACACCATCCAGTTTGAGGGGAGGCTATTGAGAATATGTAGTTTCATTACTACAGAATGGATCGAAACCCTCTCTAGGTCTTTGTTCAATGGATTCTGTTTGGGTCTTTATTACTTTCATTATTGTTACAGTTTTCAGTTAATCAGAACTCTATAAATAGAGTTCTGTTTTGTATTTTACAGATAAGAGAGATATAACAATTACAACAGTGAGAAATAAATCAGATGATGAAAAGCTTTCATTTTACTTACTTGTTTCTTTGATCTCTTCACTTTTCTCTTGTACGCCACCACCATTTGAAGCTCCCAAGGTCGCCGGATCATCGCGTCACCACTGATCTCCTTCGCCCTCTGGAAGAAGCTCACGCGTGCGAATGCCCATCCTCGTTCTCTCTCGTCAATTTGCACATAGATGTGTTTTGACCACGTACTGCAGGGATGGTCTCAATCTCACGGTCTTAATTGTGTTGTGGGCCGCCTAACATTGGGCTTCTTCTCTCTGCACACCATTTGGGCTTCGGCTTAATAGTATTAATGGATTTTGGGCTCAGACTTACGAGAAATTGAGTTGAATGGTTTGACTAGAGAAGATATAAAATGAATTGAAAGTGCAATAATTTTTTAAAAAAAAAACATTAATTCCGAAAAGTTTCTTACACTGTCGTTAATTCACAGTTTAAATTTATTATTTATTTGACTATAACATTTAAAGAGATTTTACAACAAGTAATAAATATCTATTCATGCTCTTTTTACACAAATCCTCGTGGCAATTCAAACCACTCTTCCATTTTACCAAAAGCATTTCTTTCCCGTCGATTTTCCTCTCTTTCTCATCAATTTATTCTCTGATATCTATCTTTTGTAAAGACTCGAAATTTGAATATAAATACTTCTAAGAAGTATAAAGAGGGAATTTATTTTTAAGGATATGAAAGTATATTTTTTCAAACATATTGTAAGTTGCATTATAGTGAAACAATTGGGCCGCTTTATCTTGTCCTTCCATAAATTTCTCTCTGCATTTTCATATTAATAAATTTTCAATTTTATTCATTTTGGATTTTAAAATTTAAAAGTTAAAATTAAATTTTAAATTATACATTAGAAAGTATAAAATGAGAATTTCATTTAATATAGAGTTGCAGGAAAAATATATGAGGTTGCAGATATAACCTGCCAAACAATTACAACAATTGCTTCTGCACCTATCATTTTCTTTACACCATCACTTTATTTAATTTCGATTTTGTCCTTGAAAGTTCTGTTACAAACTTGAGAGCTTTTTTACAAATTTGTCTCTACGGAGGAGATATCGTGAAAGTTTGTGTGGTTGTGCCTTCATGGAGGTGCTCATTTTCTGGTGTGTTTTGACAACGTTGAGCTACAACGAGTGTTGGTGTTGCTCATTCGAAGAGGTGGGCAATTTTTAGAAGATAATATTGAGTATAGAGTATGCTTTTTCTTATGAATTTGAATGGTAATTAGGGATCATAATGGATTGGGTTGGATATAGATGCTATCTATATGTTTAACAAAAAATTTATTTTCTAACCCTTCTTATTAGGGGATACACAGTTAGAAAAAAATCACAAATATTTTAAAATCACAAGTATAGTGGATACGTAGTATTAAAAATTATATTGGTTAAATTTAAAGTAAAATTAAATAAAATTACAAAAAAGATATAAAATATAATAAAAATAAAACCTAATAATATATAAATTAATTTTAATTAAAATTAATTTAATAAAATATAAATTAATTTTAAATTTAATTTAATAAAATATAAATTAATTTTAAATTTAATTTAACAAAATATAAATTAAAATTTATTTTAATTTTTTACAAATAATGAATATCTAAAAATACGAATAATATATCCGATTTATTTATAAATAAATATTAAAATATCCTATACTTACTTCCAGGAATAATAAATGTCTATAAATACCACCAATTTTATCCGGTAAACACAAATATTTTTGTCACTAAGTATTTTTTTCATCTAACACTGATTGTATATTTGTTGGAAATCACAGTCTAGAAATACTGTTCCGAAAACATTATCCATAATAATTGAAGGTAGGAAACAAATTCCAAAATATTGTTTCCGATGTAGTTAATTGTTATTTCAAAATATTGTTTCCATTCTATTTAATTGGAATGAGTTTGCAGTGAGTATTTTTTTCACAAGATTTATCTTAGGGTTAAATATATATTTTATTTTTTAATTTTTATGAAAAAATAAAATTAGTTTATTTTTAAAATTTTATTCATTTTTTATAATTTTAGAAATACATAAATTTAATTTTTAAATTAAATTTATTTTATGTTTTAAACATGTTTTTTTAGTTTATATTAAAGTGAAAATATGTCTAACAGAATAAATTACTCAAATATTAGTGTTTAAAATATTAAATAAATTTAATAATATTTTATTAAAATAACTAAATTTATATATTTCTAAAATTAGGTCAAACTTTTTAAAAAGAATTAATTTTAATTTTTATTAAAAAATAAAAAAGTAAAAATATATTTAATCTTTTATTCTATAAAGTTTAATAACCTTCTGCGAGTGCATTCCAGGTTTATATCTTTTAGGATATGCTCTTATTTTGGAGAGAAGGATGGGTGGATAATTATAAAAAAACTGATGCCATGCATTTTGACGAAATGCACAAAGAAATTTGATAAGGTGCTAGCAAGCAACATCTGTCCAAGCCCAATTGAAGATTAAACTTAGGCCTTCCCTCACTTAGTTGCAGGGACTGTGTCCTTTACATTGAAGGACTAAAACATAGGTAACTTTTTTGTAAAAATTTATACTATTTTATTAGATATGTTATAAATTAATTTATCTTTGGCTAAAATAAAAATTTAGATACGGTATAATCTAAAAATGATAGTTTGTATAACACATAATTTAATATTCCCAGTTATCTGACTTGAAAAAATGAACCCTCTCCCACCAGCCACGAACCCACCGAGCACATTGGCCACAAAGACCAAACCAGTATCATACCAACTTGCATTGCTCTGTACAGCCACAACAAAAGCTAAGTGTACAATTAATCTTAGTTCAATGTGCAATAAAAGAAACAGACTAAATAACTAAACCTGTTATGAGAAATAACATTAATTAAATCCACTCATTGCCTCACCTTTTGGTTTTCATCTAATTACATAATTCATAGTTACAACATGACACTAGTGTAGAAATAACATATAACCTCAAACGTTTAACCACTAACAAAAAAAATCTAATTTAAAATTTAGGTGACAATTTTATAAATAAAACGTCGTTAAGAAGTCATTTAAATGGGTCTCCAACGTCAAATAGGATATAGACGTTGGCTTTCCTAGGGTCAGGACGTCAAATGGTCTGCATAAAGAATCGAAAAGTCACTATTTTATTGTCTTTAGACGTCAATTACAGGCCCCGACGTCTAATTCAATTGACGTCGGCTCCCCTCCACAAACGTTAAAATGTCCGAAAATATCTCATTTTAAGCATAAATATTAATTTTTTACGACATAGAAGTCAACCATAGATGTTGGACCCACATCAGACGTTTCAAAGCATAAATGTATTTCTTCTATGTTGGGGTGTTGGGGGTTTAAGAATTAAGATGGTTATTTGTTCTTTCCTCTCCCCCTTAATCTGAACTTTTTCATTATGAGTACAGACCGTCGTCCTCAAAGTTGATATGTCATGCCAAGGATGTGTTGGTGCAGTGAAGAGAGTTCTTGGAAAATTGGATGGTAATCAAATACGTTGGATTGAAAATGCATTTATATTTTTCTTAGCAGCATTCTAATTAACTGTTTGTGCAAACTTTCTCTAGTATTCTCAATATCGACCTGAAAATGTTTATCTTACACAACCATTTTGCTTTGTAGTTCTGTGCCTTTTGTTATTTTGTGTCAATTCTGTTACCAGCATGACATGAAGTATCGTATCAATGTATCTTAAGCTATCCTCTTGGATTAGTTTTCCTCTTAATTCATTATCTCTTTGTAATGGTTACCATATATCCTTATATTATCATGAATTGTTGTTGGTTCCCCTAATTTGCTTGGATTGTTACTATTATAAACAGGGTTAGTGGAAAAAGTTACACGATCATATCAAATACAAAAACATATTAATACATGATGATAAATCTTGTTAATATCGATTAAGCTTTTTATTATCCTTTAGATCAATTTAGGATGATACTTTTAGCTCAGGGATAAGGTTAAATAACTCAAAGTTATTGTTGATACTCTTCTGTCTTAATTTTCTCTGTCCTGTTAGACTCTGATTGTTTGATCATGTGGGTTTCGTGTTTGTGATTAATTCATGGAAATCATCAATAGTACCTTGCTTAGGTTTTTAGTGATTCTATTACTGGAATGTAACACTGAATTTGACGTTGTTTACATATAGAAACATTGGCAGCCTTGTTTAGGCGATATTTTATCGTAATTCATTCTATTTATGATCTTGAAAATACAGTTTTCATATTCTGGCCTTATTTTATGTACGTCATATGTACTTGTTTTGGGTGTTATGATTTAGCTTCGGAGCACTTTGAAATGATTTTCTTGAAATTCCCTTCATGGTGATATGTGCTGTTTCTCTTCTTCATGCCAAGTGGCAACTTATCTAATAATCCTTTAATCCACTTTTGAAACATGTTTGAATATTTCACCAAGCAAAAAGAAAGCCTTTTGATTCTTTAAATCAACACCTTCTCTAACATAATAAAAGTTCTATATTTCCGATAGAAAAGGTCTTAAAGGCACTGTTAACTTGTATCCAAACAGACCCTATATAATGCTAGTTTCAAAGCTTGCATGTTTCTATGATTTCCCATGGTACAAGAATATGAAGTATACATGCGAAGACGAATTGTAATTATGGATTAAAGTCATTGTCATGACAGCATACCAGCCATAGTTCCTCTTCTAATGTTGTAGAATAATAAGTGGGATCTTATTTGCAGGTGTGGAATCATATGACATTGATTTGAACGAAAAGAAGGTGGTAGTGAAGGGAAATGTCCAGCCAGACACAGTTCTGGAGACCGTGTCCAAAACAGGGAAGAAGACAACCTTCTGGGAAGGTGAAGCACCAGCATCTGAAACTAGCACAGTAACTGCTTCCTAGAACACTTGGCTCTATTATGTGAGGACGAAGTAGCTATGTGAATAAAATACCATTTGGTGGACTCGAAATAACGATGAACTCGTCATCGTGTCACAGCAGACTGCTGTATATTACTGTTTTTCTCATCTGTGATACTGTATTAGTGTGGTTTTAACTTCCTTCGTCTTCGTTCCCACTCATTTTCTTCTTTCTGTCAATCAATACAAACTGCAAATATTTCCAAAGTCATCCGTCAGTGGAACTATGTTTTTTTTTCTCATTGATATTCTCCTTTAAAAGCAATTAAAAACATTTTATGGTCCATTTTCTTACCTAAGTTGCATATTATGCTAGCTCGCGAACAGAGTGTGATTTATGGAGGATGTTCAAGCAAAACAGTAAAAAAATAGCAGAACTGCTGAAAAAAATTATACTTAATTTATATTAAATTGATTTATCAATACAATTGGAAAATACCAGAAAAAATGATAATGCTTGTAGCTCCAGATCCAGAAATAGTTTATGCATTCACGTCCTAGTAGCTACTGAACCGGTCTTAAACTCTCCTATATACGTATTCCACTGGGAAAAAACATGTAAAGTATTATCGAGAGGTTCGATCACAAAGGGCCGACGTGTAAAGATAAAGAAAGATGTTTTATATTTGCTTTAAAATCATGGTTTTTATTAGGATAATGGTATTTTGAGAACATTTCTTTATAACATTTTAACATTATAAAATCATAAGCTACTGTTAAAAAATTTCTTGAGAAATTATAATATTTAGATAACTGGAACGACTACTGTTCTTTATTTCTTTAGTCCTTCACTTTAGTTCTTTTTCCTTTAACTTACCGCAATAATAGAATAGGTCATAATTATTTTTATTTTAAAAGAGTGATAAAACAAAGCTTTTATGGTTGATGGAGAGGAGTGGTTTTCACGTCACAAAAGAATGATTTACAGTCTTAAATGGAAGAACCGCAGGATTCTGGAAGGAGAATCACAGGCTGAGAAAAAAATGGTGCTTTCCATGGCTATTTTTTGCTGAATTTTTACTATTCTTAAATTTATATACAATTTCTTTGTATAACATTTGTATAGATGAAGTTATTAATATATATTACGAAATATAAAGAGAAAATGCATGTTATATAAATTATTGTGTAAACAATATAACTAATTTTATGAAAAGTAGTTCTTTTCTTTCCAAACAATACTTTATTCGAAACGTGATTTAGGAAAATAATAATACTTTCTTCTATTGAAAACCATTGATATCTAAATATAGTATTATACGTTCAACTAATTCGAATACGATACCTAATTCAATTTCAACCAATAACTCAGAAAAGTTTGTACTTTGCAGTTTCATTGCATAGTTTTTTTTTCTTACCAGAATTGCAACCACCACAGACACCGTGAATCTAAATCAAAACAAAAAAACCGAGATTTAAAAAACTAAGTAAAATACATTTGGCGGTTGAAATGGTTGGCCCACCAACCAACAACAGCATCTGTTGAGAAACAATAATTGATGTGGGCAAGCGAACAAGAGGAAGTGAGAAAGAATTGCCTTTCTTATATTCGAATCTTCTTATGTTCCCTTTCATATTATCAGACACATCATTATAAAAAGCAAACTAAGTAAAATATTAATGATGATAGGTTTTATATTCCATGATTATGTCTACGTCTTTTACTTTTATAACATGGAATCTAATTCCTGGGTCAAAGACGAAATGGCATATATCCAATGAATAACTGGAAATCATTTATCCTCCCCATTCTATAAATTAAATAAAATTGTTAATTACACCAATTCCAGTTTTATAACTGTAATTAATTACACCAACGCAACTGTTAATTACACAAACATGGTTTTGTAGTTTTAGTAAAATCCCACAGCAGTTGTCTGAGTTGAAGTTGTATATGAGCAGTTTGAGTTGTATGGATGGTCATAAGTATGTATATATATATATAAAAGTGGGATTATATATATATAAAAGTGGGATTATATATATATATATGAATATATATAGAGAAAGAGAGTTCTAATAGAAGTCTACGGTATTGGTTGTGCAATTATAGAGTCGAACCAATTCCTTGCACTTGTCTGATGCAGGGATGTATGGAGGGGTAGCACACCTTAACAATGCCCAATTAACTCCATTGAAGAAGGGGTGGTGCTTGATTGCTAGGGCACCCATTGTTGAACCCAGTCTCATTGTTGAGTCCTTCACCAACAGTTGTGATATCAAATCCCTAGCTGCTCCTGGGATCATTGGCTCCTTAGGGAACTCAAGGGCACGTGCCACTATGTTCGCTAGGGTTAGCTCATGCTCAACCCCTTTGAAGGGTGTCATCCCGTAGAACAGTTCAAAAATGAATACTCCCAGTGTCCACCAATCAACGGCGTTACCGTGACCCTCCCCGGAAATCACTTCCGGCGCCAAGTACTCATGGGTCCCAACGAACGACGTCGACCGAATTTCTATTGGCTCCGCCACGATCTCCACCGACCCACACCGCGATGACCTCTTGCTACGACCGCGTTTCGGGTGGAAGCATGGGACAGATGGCACAATGCAATTTGGCAGCATGCAGGATGACATGGCGGGGGCGCATTGGTTCTTGGAATGGTCGTTGGAACAGGTGTTGCAGGGTGGATCTTGATCGAACACGATCTGAGCCGTTGATGTTGTGTCGTCGCCTTTCAGTGAGAGGTCAAAGTCAGTGAGCATTACGTGACCGTCCGATCTTATGAGCACATTTTCAGGCTTCAAATCACGGTATATTATCCCCATCATGTGTAGGTACTCCAAGGCAACCACAACCTCAGATGCGTAGAACCTGTAACCACAACCCTCAAGTCAACATAACATGGTGGAATTGTTATTATCGGCATGTATTATTTTGGTATATCAGCATCATAATTTTATTACCATCAATTTCTCCAATAATTAAATCATGCAGGGTCCACTTTTGAATAATCATACCCATTATTTTAAAATTTGACCATGCAAAACGTCATCAACTTCTATTTTTGCATAATTTTTCAAATATATTTTGATGAAGACGTACGAGCACTATCTGTAATTTTTAGAGAAATAAAACCTTTTGACTAAATCCAAAAGCTGAATTACTTGTTTATGCAATAGTTTAAGATGGAGGTTCCATCCTAAAAGTATTTAAATCTGTTCAAGCTCAGAAACGACGAGATATAGGAATGCTCTAAAATTTGTTTATTATCAGTATTACTTTGGCAATCCGATAATGGTTACTGGTTAAGTGGGGGAGGCACTAAATTATTATTTGGTGCACGACGGACACACCAAAAGCCTTCGTGGGCTCACCATCAAAGGCATCAAAGGAGACATGAATTGAATCTAATGGCCCACAGCCAATGAAATTATGAGCAGATTAAACCAACTCAACTCAAACCCAAAGACCTATCCCAACTTTCCCATCACAAACTGCATCACCAACTCATCCAAAGAAGCCAAATAAACATGCGCGCTCTCTCTCTCTCTCCACCCTCTCCACTACTATATTATAAATTTTCATTTTCCTTACATTAGCGTTGATGTATGAAACATCAACATACCCAGTTACCCATTGTTAATTCAGTTACAAATCCCACTGACATCTCAAACAGTAACTGTTACCTATTAACTTTTCTTTCTATTTATTACGCACCGATTTATATTATAACAACGTATAAATGAAAGAAACAAATTACTCGACCAAATTATTCTCTGCATGCATGTGTTCATTCATCATCTAAAATTGCAATCTCTTGCGTTCAATAAAAAACACACAAAAAAAGTATCGCATAATTCAACACTAAACATATTCAAGGTGTCAACTAATTTCTGCATCTCATGTAATGTAACCATTAACAGTTCCGACCGACATGTGATCATTTTTGTTCCCACGCCGCTTCAAAGTGTAACAGGATCACATGCAGATTAAATAGGGAGAGTTAAAGAAGAGAAAGGAGAGACAGACGGACCTGACGGCGGCGTGGTGGAAGCGTTTATCGGGCTGCCGCTGGCGGAGGACGTGGAGGTCGCCGCCGGGGCAGAACTCAGTCAGGAGGCAAGACCAGCGCGGGGAATCGAGCGACGCGTAAAGAGTTGGCAAAAAAGGGTGATCCACCGCTTGCAGAATCTCTCTCTCAACCTTTGCCCTCGTGTCTTTGTTCCTGGCCACGAGTTCCTTCTTGTCCATCACCTTTGCCGCGAACAGGCACCCGTTCGAGCCCTTCAGCTCCACCAAGTACACGCTTCCGATATCGCCGCTCCCCACTCGCTGCACAAACCGGAGGTCACCCAATCCCAGGGTCCCGCCGCCGCGCTCTATGGCTTCCCAGCAGGGGTCCGACGACGGTGCGTGGTTCCTGGCGGAGAACGTCCACTCCGCGCCCGCGGTGGTGGCAGGGTTGTCGGAGTCGTCCTCGGCGGAGGAGTGCATTGTGTCGCTAATGATTCTAACAATAACTGCAGTAATAATAATGGAGTTGGAGTTTGCTGTGTTGTGCGTGAGAGAGAGAGAGAGAGAAAGAGGTGTGCGTGTGGGGGGAAATAGAGAGTTGAGTTTTGTGAAGGGAATGAGAGAAGGAGGTGGGGGCATAATGGGCCGGCAGTTTATTATTGGGCCATCTGGTGCCTTTACACTAAATAGGCCACTGGGTCAATGGGCCCATCTGCTTCAATTTTTTCTCTATTTTTTTTTTGTTTTTTTTGTCTTTTTATAGTATTGATCATCAATTCTCATTCACGTATGAACAAAAGTAGTAACGTGGGGGAGACACTACCAATTGCGAACGGGAGAACATGTTGATTTTGTCAAGTGTCAATGAAAACGCATCGAAAGAGTTAAATTTTACGAATCTAAACTGTAACTAGTTTTATTCAACTGTAATTATTACCCTTAACTCCCATCTAATTAAAGAGTTATTTTTCATATTTTGTAATGTCCACTGACAGTTTAACTTAACAATGTGTTTAAAGAAAATCGAACCACGACCCTACGACATCATTAATAGATAATAGTGGTTCTTTACTTTAAACAACAACGATTACATGCCCGATCTTCTTTTATTCAGAAGATTATCAAATAAAGTGAGAGCTTTAATTATTCTTAAAAAAATAGCCATTAAAACAGATAAATCTTATTCAAAACACACGCGAATCTCTATTGCGACAGACAGGGGACCGTGACACCCACCCAAAAAAAATTAAA